GGAAGAAGGAGGAAGAGGAGGAGAGGGAGGCTTTTCTGCTCAGACTGCCTCCAGTTCGAGCGGCCACGGGCACGGGGACACCCCACTCGTTGCTCCTCCGTTATGAAAAGGTGTTTAGCAGACTTTTACGCCCGGAGTGTGGGATTTGCACTTCAATTTTTTTTCTCTCCCCTCTTCCCCAAAGCAAGATGGACTCTATTCCCTTTCTCTTTCTCCCTCTGCCTCTGTCTTGTCAGCCTTTAAGATCGACATTTTGTACTAAGATGCAAACTTGATGGTGACCAGCAACAAAGCCAGGGTGGGATCTCTGGCTCCTTTCCTCCCTCTCCGTTTCCCAGCTCCCCCAACCCCGAACTGGTGGCCCTGCACTTGCCGCCCTGGGCACTGGTAATGTGTTTCCTCGCTCGGTTCCTATCTCCAATCTCGGGATTGTGACCGGAGCCCGGCGTTTGGGCGACGGCTGTGGGTGGCAGCCCTGATCTGCAGGGCCGAGGGCTGCGCTACCTGGATCCGCTGCCATCGCCGTGCTACCTCCTGCCTGCTCCTGGGCACCTGGGAGGCTCCGGCTGCCGGCTGCCGATCGATTGCTATGATTTGGTTACTTACTGGTGTATTTGTCCTGGGGGTAGCGATCACTTGTGCAAGTTGATGAATGATCGCGGTGTGGGTTTTGGATTTGCAGAATGGATCAACTTTCTGCTTTGCACATACGGGGAGTAGGGAGAGAGGGTGCTTGAAACACCTTGAAATGCCAGCTGGGCTACCCTCACCCTCTGGCCTCTGAATACAGGGAACTTCTTGGCCTTTATTGCTGCACAGTTCCAGCATGGGGGTGGAGGAAGGGGAGGGGTTGGGGGGAGATGGACTTCTAGCTTCCGGATCCTTCGTAGATGTTGCAGGAGTTGGGACTCTTGTAAAGCTCTACCATACTGATGATGTGCCTTTATTTGATACTTTATAGGTCACTATCATATGACAAAGGCTTTGCCGCAGTTCATCTTCTTCCAGTGTACTTTCCATTTGCCTTCCTGGGTAAGTATGCAAACTCTTCATACAGGAGACCTGGATGGCTGTTAGTAGTGATATAAGGGTCCTTACTGTGTACAAGAGGATGCTTTATTGGGGTTGCAACACCCCAGAAAGCTTGCTCCACTGAGGTTTCCACAACAGAAGCCAATTTTAGATTCTCAGTATTTAGATTTCAGCTGCTCTTACTAATATTTTAAGATTGTTTAAATGTTCATTTCACGTTTATCTGTAAGTAAGTGTTATTTGAAAACTTATTTTCAAATGAGTATTTTAATGGATAATGTGATTTACAGAATTGGAAGCCTAGGATATTTAATGCTAGATAATCTTGTGGAAAGATTGCAGCTTATGAATGGAGACAATTATTAAAATCCCAAAGAAGCATCATACAGATTATAGTGAGCGGCATTTGCTTACTCTTTCCTAGGTTTCTGTTGTGTTGTTTGTGACAGTTACTTTTGTGGGAAAGGGTGGACTGGGTAGTGTAGTATATCTAGCATTTAGTGTACCAACCAGCTTGATTCTAAAGGCAAATAACTGTGACCAAATTGATCCTAATTTCCTTCTAAATTTAAGTATTTGGAGAAATTTGGTACATTTTAACAGCCTATATATACAATAAATAGTGGCTTTGAAATTCATTATTAAGTGACTTTTAGAGATGAATACCTCCCGTAAGGAAAAATCTGTGAAATAATGTGTGGGATAGCAAGTGTCTAAAAAGTTTGTGAGAAGTAATGAATGGTCTAGCTGAATGAAAACTGAGAGTTTATAGAGCATTTGAAGGCATCACGGTGAGCCCAAATGTAGAAAACCAACTTGTAATTTGCCCCTCCATTATAAGGAACTCCTCAGGTACTCTTAAGTTGCTGATAAGTTAAGAAAACTGGTTGTACTAAATTGTGTAAATCAGCGACGGTGCTTTGTAATACTACCAGAGTGAAGATGGGATTATATTTTGTGAATGAAAATGGATTGGACTCAATTTTTCATAAAAGAAAAAGAAAAGGGAACTTATCTGTCTTGTTTCTTGGCTTCCTGGGATACTGTGTGCGTTCTTAAAGGTCCTCTTAGTATTCAGAGGAATTGAGTTTGAAGACCAGGCCTTTCTGGTAGTTTCCAGACAGTAGCAAAATATACTTTGACATTGCTGAGAACGTTAGCTGAGATAGGATATAAACTACTGCTGAGAATGTTAGCTGAGACATAATTTAAAATATCTAGCATCTTTTATGGAATGTAAATATCATATTACTTCAGGTAGTTTTGAGAGCTTCCTAATATATCACATGTAAAACAGGCTGATTGGAGTGGTCAGAATGAGATGGTTCTGTAAGATGAATTTAGCGCACACCAAAATATGTGGATGTCATGTCTTTGATTTTTCTTTTTAAAGCTTGTTTGGAAGAGAAGTTTTTTCATTTTTGAACATAGAGCAAGAGTATTCAAAGTGCATTCCTGATTACTAAAGAACACCACAGTTGCACACTATTTTGTTCACTGGAGCAAACTTTTAATGTTAGGTTTTTCCCCATGGATATATTCGACCAAGTCAAAATTTAAAATGGGAACCTGCAATTTCCGCAATCAAAGCTATTTGATGGTCTTTTATATTTCTTTGAGATATCAAATAACTGCTTCATTAAAACACTATTTTCAAGAATAGTCTTGGTCTTTAAAGTCAGAGTAGTTTTTATAGTTCAAAACTTATTGTGGTAATTTAAAAGTCACCCTAACAGTGAATTGCTAGTTATTTGCATTTGAGACTTGATTATCAAAATAAGAATTTAGCCCTGACCAGTTTGGCTCAGTGGATAGAGTATCGGCCTGCGGACTCAAGGGTCCCGGGTTCAATTCCAGTCAAGGGCATGTACCTTGGTTGCGGGCACATCCCTAGTGGGGAGTGTGCAGGAGGCAGCTGATGGATGTTTCTCTCTCATCGATGTTTCTAACTCCCTATCCCTCTCCACTCCTCTCTGTAAAAAATCAATAAAATATATTTAAAAAAAAAAAGAATTTAAATAAAGGTTTTGCTTCTACATTGCCAAGTTTTTCCAAACTTCACATTTCACTATTCTGCATATCTCTATTAAGTTCTGAAACTGAAGCTTTAATTCGCATTTCATTTTTTAAAAATATATTTTATTGATTATTTTTACAGAGAGGACGGGAGAGGGATAGAGAGTTAGAAACATTGATGAGAGAGAAACATTGATCAGCTGCCTCCTGCACACTCCCTATTTTGGATGTGCCCACAACCAAGGTACATGCCCTTGACTGGAATCGAACCTGGAACCCTTGAGTCCGCAGGCTGACGCTCTATCCACTGAGCCAAATCAGTCAGGACTTGCATTTCATTTTTAATGCTCGCTATTGAAAAGGAGAATCATCTATGCTGTTTTTCAGTGCTATGTACTTGGAGGTACTCTGGTAGTTTTAGAAAGAATTTTTCACTGGAGACTTAGATATTAACAAAAATTTGCAATTTTCACACTTTCTAAAAAATTTCTTTATTGGTTAAGTTATTACATATGTGTCCAGTTTTCACATTTTTTAAAATCCATCTTGATCTTCATATCCAAATTTAAAAAAAAAGTCCCAGGTTTAAAAGTTTGTGAGATAGCTCTGCTTTTAGGATACATATAGCTCTGCTATACAGCTTTAAAAGTGTATACAACTTTGACCTGTAGACCTGATGTTTATACTTAAACCATTGAAACAGAAAATTGTTTTTAGACATTTGAGTGAAAGCTAGGGTGACCATGTAATAATTTATTGTTCATTTGTGCTGTAAGAAACTATATAATTGATAAGGTTTTTTTGTATATAGTAAAGAAAGAAGAAAAAACAGTCTTAACCTGTTGCAACTCATAAAACCTAACTTGGCACTTAAAGTTAGCCATATTTTTCAGTAAAATTAAAAGCATAATATTTAATTATTAATCAACAGTTAACATACTTAAAGTTTATGTTTTCCTACATTTCATAAAGAGCATGGGTAAGGCAAGAGCCATGTTTTATGGGATCTTACCATGAATATCAATTACTTTAATATTAGAGAACTTTAATAGAAGTAATAAAGACTTCACATCTCAACCCTATTAAAAAATCTTTTTGAAAATAGACTCATTACAGGCATGCCTGTTTTTGTTGTACTAAAGGAAATCCTGAAATTATTGCTGTCTTACAAAAGTGCAAAAATGTTTAAAATTGTGATATTTAAATGTTCTAAATTAGTAAATTTAGGCAATTAACTGTGGCATATTGCATCACCACCAGGGTGACATGCCTGTATTTTAAAATGGTAACTTAAGCAGATGCTTAACTTAAGAAGACGACACTTTTCTTGCACTTGTTTGGAGTCCACCTTGTTTTTTTTAACATTTCATTGTGAAGGGTACCTTTTAAAATAGGTCTGAATGGTATCCTATATTTTTACTCAGTTTTCTTCCTCTCACTGTGAAATGAAAACAATCTAAATTATAAGAGCATTGTAATTTCATGGCTTCGTTTTTTGTGTTTATTTTTTTTAATCATATGCCCCAGGTAAATTGGTGCAGGTGGTCCTCAGGCTACACTTTGAGAACACTGTTCTGAGGGAAGTAAAGACTAATGCTAAGGACTGAATAGAGGTTCTTACTGTTTGAAAATTCTGTGACAGTCATTCAGTCAGTAGGTTTGTACTACCTCAAGGGCAGTTATCACATACTGAGCCGAATTGCAGAGATTTCTATATTTTAAGTCATACCTGAGGAAAGCACTTTGTGAGTATAGCTTCACTCAACATTCATATGTGTGCATATTATTCCATAGAAGGCAATTACAGTTCCTTGAAACGCCAGGACATCATTTTAAAATGATAAAGGTATATACCCAGAAAAATCCTCATGTGTTAATGAGGGTTGTTTTCACTTGTTTCTTTCAAAGAAAAAGATAAGGTGAGAATTAAAATAAGTATCAATTGTACAATGGAAATGTAACATAAGGCAAGCTACTAGAGAATTCTATCTAAAAGTATATATAAATAGAGAGAAGGTGGAAGGCTAAGGAAATGAAAGACTTACATGATTAAATACTAATATAGACCATGAAGCATTGACACACCTAACAAAATATAAACTTAATAAGTTAAAATGTGTGAGTGGGTTCAAGGATATAGATCAGTGGTTCTCAACCTTCCTAATGCCGCAACCCTTTAATACAGTTCCTCATGTTGTGGTGACCCCCAACCATAAAATTATTTTTGTTGCTACTTCATAACTGTAATTTTGCTACTGTTATGAATTGTAATGTAAATATCTGATATGCTATATGTGTTTTCTGATGGTCGCGACCCACAGGTTGAGAACCGCTGATCTAGATAGTGAAATGACTTCAGGTATGAGGTGGTTGTATAAGATACAGAGTAAAAATAAGAATGAGTTGGATTTTATGAAGTCTTAGAAAAAATAAAAATATTGTAAAATACTGATTAAATAATTAAACCAATAGTTAAACATGGCCCTTGGGTAAAAAGATCAGGGAATAAATAAGCTCCTGGAATGGAATAACTGAGATTCTAAAAAGGACATGGAAGGATTTTATTCACGAATAATTCCATACAAGGATATAATGAAATAAAAGATCGATAATTTATTTCAAAGGAGAAATAAGAACAAGGACAAAAAATTCTTTAAAGTAACTATATTTCTTCAGTGTTTTTTTAACTGAAATGTATGAAAGGAAATATCTTTTATATCCCAATCCACATATAACAACTGAAACAAAAGTTTTCTGAAACAGTACTAAGAGCAGTGCCCTCTGATTTTTTCTATTCCTAGCCAACTCTACAAATCTAATCTGTTCCAAACCATTTTACTGAAAAATAAATATAGAGTGTCATCCACTGAGTTGATTTTTATGATGTACAGTGTGAGAAACACCAACCCGGAGTGCTTGCTAAAAGCGGAGGTCCTCAGGCCCCAGATACTCTGATTCAGTGTGTTTGGTGTAGGGCTCAGGGT